CGGAGTTACCTTGGCTAGCTGTGTGGTGTGTGTGTGTGTGTGTGTGTGTGTGTGTCTGTGTGTGTGTGTGTAAAATATCCCACAGAGCAGCTCTTTGTCTCAAAGGATTGGGTTGCACCAAACGAACAAAGCATCCGTGGTTGCCAGTAGCGACGGTAACAGGTGAAGTGAAACTTAAGGACAAAATTAGTTTGTGTGAGTGTGTGCGTGAGTTTATGTAAGACTAAAACTATGAGTAACAGAAGTGAAACAAAGGGACTGTTGGTTGTTTTTTACACACACACACACACACACACACAGTGTTGCCTCTGGCTGTGTTTTCCTGTCGTGGTCTCTGACAGGGTAACTAAGTCTCCGCAGGAAGTTGTTCTCTGTTTGTGTCGCTGAGACTAAAGAGTGAGATGCCCATAACAAAAACAGAATGAGAGAAAGTAAGAAGTAGAGGAGCGAAATATTGAGAAAGAAAAGTTGAAGAATAAAACAAATTGATGAAGTTAGAGGATCTTTTCCAGATTCTTGAAAGACATGAGAGTGTCAGGACTCTGTTCCCGGGTTAGGGTGGCCAAGCCCACCGGCTTCTGAGCATATTTCATATGTCAGACATTGTGTTTACACACAGTTTAAGTTAATAGTTGCAAACTGAAAGGAGTTTTACAATTGTAGGAAGAAGGAAAAGACAATGAGAGAGAGAGACAGAAGCAGTGACAGTTAAAGATTTAAGGGAACTCCTGTTTGGTGCTTTGTGTGGGTTTTCTAACTGTAACAGACTCATTATGTATTTTAACTGTGGAGACAAACACACTGCGTAGACAGACGGACGGACGAGCAGAAATTGTGATGACTGTTTATGATCTTCTGCTAATGATCGGTTCAAAGACGCAGACATGTTCAGACCACAGCGGACTGTTAGTGATTATTATCATGATTACGACTGACGACGGAAACAATCTGCAACAACAATATAATGACGCTGTTTGTAACTTCAGGACTGTCATTTATAAATCTGGTGTCAGGTAACAACTGATCCACCTGGTAGGATGCAGATATATCTGTGTGTGTGTGTGTGTGTGTGTGTGTGGAGGTATTAGGTTTCTCTCATAGTCTGCGTATTGTGGTTGACCTACAGGATGACACAGGGGTCAGAGGGTGACAGTACAGTGTTACAGTAGGAAGTTCAGGCCATCTTTACATATTCTTGAAGACAAGCGCTCAGAATAGATATTCTTTCATTAACTTTACTTTCTTCAAGGCTGCATTAATGTGTATTTGGCCACATGGATTCAAGTTTCTTCCTCGAAATTCAACCAGAAACCGAACCCTTATGGGAGAAGACGACAGAAGAACCGTCACAAAGCCAGACATATTTCCCTGTATTATTTAGTATTTATATTCTATATGTGACATTTTACCTTGGCAGCATGTTTTAATGCTATAAAAGCCAACTAAATTGAAATTGAGATTGATACAATGTGTGAGGGAGAGAGAGAGAAAGAGAGAGAGAGCGAGAGAGAGAGTGGATGTGAAAATGAGAGTGGGCGGAAGAGAGGAGTGAAGGACAGTTCGGTGGAGTGGTCAAACTGTGCTGCTGAATATGCTGCTGGCATCGATGATTCACACACACGCACACACGCACACACACACACACACACAGTGAATCAGCGAGCTCTGAGGGACACTGTTCAGAGCGAGTGGACGCTGTGTGTCTCTCCTGTGTGTCAAGAGCTCCTCCGGTGCTTCTAATCTGCTCAGAGATCACAGAAGAGTCACCAGCAGCTACAAGCCGCCACTACAGTGGACTCAATCTGGACATTTTAGTCCTTAATGGTAAATTCTCGTGTGTGAAACAATGCTGGACCTCTCGCTCTGCTGCACAGAGATTTATTTTATACAGCAACAACAAAAAGGACAGTTCACTAAAACAGAGTTAATATATAAAGGAGGAACCACTGACACATATAAATATAGACGACATGACACCTCTCCAAAAGTGAAGCCAAAATATCTCAGTCGCCCCCTGGTGGCTGACTGCGGTATAGCTCATAAAGCCCCAATGTTAGCAGTTGGACGAACTAAACATTAAATAAATTTTCCCCAAAAATGGTTTCTGGTAGTTCTTATCACGCTGATGTTTGCTTAACTGTTTATTTCAGTTTAGTTTGAATTAGTTATTTGTCATGAGTGACAGCTGAGCCCTGATCGCCAACACCGAACTTTTGGTCCCTGTCAATCTTCCTTTAGATCCTTTAAAGTCTGCTCTGATTTTGAATAACCCAAATAAACACTGATAAAATGCTGGAATTTACAGTAATGCACATTCAATAATATATGTTTCAGAGCATTACGATGCTTTTTAATAAAATATCACCAAATATCAATATCAATACATAAACAATGTATTGATTGTTTGCATAGTTGATGCAAATTGCAAATTGGCAGAAAATTGAGTTAAGTAATTGTTTTTAATTAAACAAAAATCTGTAAAACGATGTTGCAGCTTTTTCAGTGTAAGACTGTTTTTCTCTCTTTTATATTATTATAAATTGGGTGTGTTTGGGGTTTAGGACTTCCAGCTTGGAAGGTAGTGATTCCTTTGTTGCAGCGATTGATCAGTTAATTGAGAAACTAATCAGCACATTAATCTGTAATGAATATAATCGTTAGTTTGCAGGAGGGAGCCGGTTCAGGACATTCAGACAGGTCACGTCATGAAGTTCTTTTGGTTTAAACTCAGAGGTGTTAAAGCTGTAATTTGCATTGTTGTTCTGAGACTGTTTTTCCTTAGTGGTCTTATAATGTTCATGTTTGTCTAGCTGCCTTTGTGTCTGTGATTCACCTTCATTTTTGTTAAATATCCTTTGTGTTGCGTTTTTGTCGCGTCCACCCACTGCAGACCAAAAACAGCTCCACAAGTGAGCCAGTAAGTTGAGCAGCACTTTGAGTATGAGTCAGCTTTACCAGGCCCACAGTCACCATTTTAATAAGGTACTGTTCAAGGTGACATACAGTGAAGTCTGATATAAGGCTACAGCAGTATTTTTTATTACTGATTAATCCATTTATTTATTTATTTATTTTTAACCTAGAAAATGTAGAAAATAGTGAAAAATATAAAACTTCTGGTTGTAAAATGTATGAATTAATAATTAAAATGTTTCTGTTGAACCCTTTGTAGTGATTTTGTTTATGGAACCCCTTCATGTACACCTATTACGGACACTATTTCTGACTTCTGTGGACCTAAAAAAGCTGTGTGTCTGAAAGCCTGTTGCATATTTGACTTTATAATAGTGTTGTTTTTATATGTATTGGTTACCAATGAACTCACTGATTGATTATTTCTACATGATGACGATGTTTCCACTGCAAGAACTTTTCCAAGGATGCAGGAACCATTTGAGGAGCTCAGGAACCTCATTTACGTCTGATATAATTGGAAAAAAAACAGGGAGTAATTGTAACTGTTAATACCTGTGGCTCCACTAACCCTTTGGTTGAACAGGTTTAGTGTCCAAGGAGTTGTCTAACCAAGAATTTGGAAGGTGTTACATGTGATTGGAGTCATGTTTGAGGGACTGGATGAGAGTATTTGGTCAATTCTAGGGACAAATACACAAAGACTAAAGACTTATGGTTCGTTTCTTGGCAGAATATCATCATATCAAGAGCCGCAGAGGGTCCTGGTCTAAACACTGCTTATAAAAATACTTTCAAAAGTTCCTTGAGGTGGAGTGTGGGAGTGTTTCCCACCTACTGTACATCTCCCATCCAACAACCTCATACTGTAGTCACTCACTGTGTCTGTTCCATTGTTGCTCATACTGACAAAAACCTTTAAATCCAGACTGACTGAGGCAGTTTTAGATACAGAGAACTTAATATATATATATTTTAAGGTCATTAACCGGAGAGCGAAAGGTCAAGTGAGATAAAGAGAGGTATTTCCATTTGTCAGCCTCTCAATGGGTAATTGTTCCTGCTAATGTCAGCGTCTTGGTGGGTCATTACCTCATTAAGGTTACTCTAATGATGGAAAGGCCTCTGACATTTTTCAGGCCGGAACTGTTATTGTTAAAAAGAGCTGAACATTTATAAAGAAAATGACTCATTACAGAGGGAGAAACATGTTATGACTGGTTGCTGAGTGCTTTTTGTCCTCTTAAGATGAGATCAAAACAATTTCTTTGTTTCAGATTTGAGGAGAAACATTTGCTTTTGTCCTTTTTCTTCATCTCAAAAGACTCAGTTACAGATGTGGTGAATCCGGGCTGAATAAACGCACCTTTAAAGGGCGTTCAAGATCGAAAATGTCATGAGATGTTGTAGACCTCCAGAGGTTAGAGGTAGTTTCGGAACTAATCAAACCATATCACAAATTAACTTGAGAATCTATCTTTCCAGGCTTTACTGTACAGTGGTATCCCACCAATCAGCGTCCTTTGAGGAACGGGGGTTGGGCGCTAATGCCTGCACTATTTATTTAATTTGTCCTCAGTTTCTTCTCCTTTCCCACAAACCTTTGCTTATAAATATGCAAAGTAAGGATGCAGGATGTTCTTTCTTGTTTCAGTGGTTGCAACATGACTCTAACTGCAGTCCCTTTTGATTGTTCAGTGTGTTGTCCTCAGTCCTTCGATATGTCCTTACTGACTGTCAGGATGGATTTTTATATTTAGAGTAATGTTGATTTAGTCTAGCCGATCCTCATTCTTCCTCTTCTACTCTTCCTCTTTTCAGACATTACCCCAAGACGTCGTTCACCATCGTGGCCGACACACCAGAGAACCTGAGACTGAGACAGCAGAGCGAGCTACAGAGCCAGGTGAACACACACACACACACACACACACACACACACACTGCAGGCCTCAGGTGTTGATTCATCCCTGAGCAGGTAGCTGTTCTGATTCAGAATCACCATGTGTGTTTCCATCCAACAGTTTTTATTTGTATTTTCAATTTGCATGTAAAAAGAAGTGGAAGCACTGAAAAAAAAACTTTATATAAACTCTCAGATAGAGCCGACCACCCAACTTTATCAGAGTTTTCTAACAAAACACAGGAAGGTTTAGTTTCTACATTTTGAAAAACTACTATTTGTAGTTGTCTATATGCTATTTGAATGTGAGTTTGTCATCTATCCAAATACTGAGGTATTTATAGTCTGTAACTCCCTCATATTGGATCCTTATACAGTAGAAATACAAAGTTTTTTGCTACCACTATCTCTCTTTATCTAACAAAATAAACAGAGTTTAATGTGCATTCAATGCAGGATCATTAAGTGCAACTTGGAGAACGTTAAAGCACTGTTCTCCACAGCTAGCTAGAACATAGTATCATCTGTTTATCACATCTCGGTTACAAAGGATACCCGGGTATTGAAGTTGATCTAACACGTCACATTCAGATCCTCTTAGTTTTGTTGATGCGCAGACTGACATTTGGTTTAAAGCAGCTTTACGGCTCATATCTCCGCCCCTCTGGCACCACATGGAGACGAAGACAAATGCTCAGGTGTATCAGGAGAAGCTGCTCTGACAGCTTCGGCTTCCTGAAGGCGAGATGAGTCACTGTGCCGGTTTATAGAGACACACACACCGATGCAGAGAACACGTATGAGGGAATAAACCAGCTATACTTCTGTGCCATATGTCCCCGTCCTGTGTGTGCGAGCGAGCCCCGCGGACTGCAGCACAAAAGGACAGATGTCCACTCAGCAGTCAGCAGAAGGGGACGTGCTGTTTGTGTGTGTACTGCCCTGCCCTCATAAAAATCCATTTATTACCAGTTTGTCATTTACAGACCAGAGATTTACACATTCATTTATTCTGTCCCTGTCTTCCTCTGCCTCCTATTCTCCATCCAGCTTCTTTCTTTCTGTCAACCTTGTCCTCTTTTCCTCCCCGGCTCAAGTTCGTTAACATGCAAGGTCTGATATATCTTAAACTACTGAGCAGGTGAAGATTTTTTCTTCCCTAAAATGTCTAGCTGGCAGCTTAAAGCTTGATCACACAAGGCTTTAATATCCTGTAGTCTATCACGTTATAGTTTTGTTTAAAAAAAAACTTCTGTCTCCTCCTGTTCTGTCGTTTAAAAATTTTTCAACATGTCCCTCCTGCTACCAGTTTTTCTACCAGTAGACAGGAATCCCCTTTCAGAGGGTTTGGACTGTTAGTGATGCTCTCGGGGAAACATATATACTCCAAAAAGCACAAGATGGATCATTATTTAACGGTCTTTATGTCTCCTGTCCTCTGATGAGTCAGCCGTTGTGTCACACATCAGACTAAATCTGCTACAAGGAGTTTTTAACTGGTTATGAAACAGTCTCAGTTTAATACCGGTGTCTGTGTATGCCCTAGATAAACAAACAGGACCATCAGTATTTCTATACAGTTATTCTTAATACTTCTTAATGCCTTGGTTGGATTTCCCTTGAAATAAATGAGACAAGTTGGTAGAAGCACTACCGCTTCTGTCCACAGGGGCTGCCAGAATCAACACAAATGAAAATTTATAGTTGCTGCTTTAAACAAAATCATGTTAAAATGAAATTTACAAAGGATATGGTTTCTTCTCTTCATGCCCTGTTAGTGATTGTTAGGGCAATTAAAGAATATAATTTTAAAAACACACACAAAAAGCTAAATGTCACTCTGATGAAATCCAGCCTTTATTTCAGGTACATTTTCTCCTGTTTTCACCTGCAAAAAGACAAGTTGAGACAATCAAAACAAGCAGTGACGGATCACTTTATGATTTACTCTCCACAGCGGCTGCCACTTTCTGATAAGGCCCATAAAACCACGCTCAGGTCTGACACTTCAGACTCAGTTGGCGGTCGCATGAGAATATGTAAATGCTAGGGATGTGCCGAGATGATACTCAGTGTCAGTATCCTTGCAAAAATTTGCCTTAACTATGACATAGAGGCTTAACTAAACTTTGGGCGGTATCTTACTAAATGGAAGTAGAATATCTGTTTCTCAGTTTGAGCATTATGTTTTTTAGATAACTAACCAAAGTGCATCCATACAATTGTGTTATTAAAGATAGAAAGACGGATTGTTATCGGTATTGGTAGATACTCAAGGTTGTGGCATCGGTATCGGACAGGAAAAAGTGGTATTAAACCATCCCTAGTAGATGCTTATAGTCAGACTGTAGAATGAATTCCTCCCGGCAGAAACAGGTTACAGAGGCTTTTGACAGTGTGTCTGTGCCAGTCAATCCTTTGTTCAGCTGTCTGCTTTAATGGATGAGGCTGATTTTAGTGTGGCTCCTCTCACATCTCCAATTCAATTTTATATCCTCTCTTCGTGCAACAAAATCTACAGAGACTGTCTTCAATTTGCATCCCTATAGATACTTCTGATGTGACAATTTCACCAACAATTCTCTCTTCCCCTGTTTCCTCCAGGAGAGACAAAAAAAATACCCTCCTTCTCTTTCAACCTACCTGCTTCCTCCTCCTCTTCTTTAACTCTTCCACTCCATGTGTGTGTTGTCCCTGGAGGTGATGTTTACTTTATATTAGCACTGAAGCTTTCAAGTCTGGCTCCGGGAGCCTGATTATAATAGACAATGACAGTGGGAAAACCCCCATATGTTCAGCACTGACCTAGTTGTGTTATGGTACAGAGGAGTGGATGTGACCTGGTGATGTCTGTCGCTCAGCCAAATCAGCTGCTGAGTGAGGTAATATTGATAATAATTGAGCCTTTATTTTATTATTTACATTTTAAATACAGCCGGACTAGTCAATGGTTGACCCATGAGCCACATCCTGTCCAGAAGCAACGGTCCGAGTGGCCCCGAATACATAAATCTGACAAAATACTTTACAATAAACTACATATAATGTATAGAATTAGCAAACAAGTGAGCCATCTGGCTTCCTTCTCAGGGCAGGATTTTTACAAATGCAGTAACACCGCCAAATATATCTTTCACATGTCCTTTCCGACCACAGGAGCTCTTCAAAACATCTGGCTGTTGTAAGTCATGAGTTGGGATGTGCTCTACTGAAAATATGTCTCTGTCAACCCTAAGACGTAGAAATGACACTGAAACCTGTCAGTTTAACCTTGATTGGACTCGGAAGGACTTGTTTATCTTCCAGCCATCTCACAAAGTATTAAAGTATGAAGTATGGAGCGCTGTAGTGCCACAGAGCTGCACTCGCCTCCAAATCTTGATCCCCACACGTAAGAAAACATGTTTGTTTGGTATAAACCTCAACAAATGTTACATAATCATGATTTTGATTATTAGTTTTTTTTATAATGAAAATGGAAATTGTGATGCAAACATATTCATTCCCACTGATCCTGAATCAGATCGCAATATCGGTTATATTTTACCATATCCTGCAGCCCTAATTTCCACCCTACATAGCTGGTGTGTATGTGGCATCAGCTGTTTTTCTGTGAGTGTGTGTGTGGTTTAGCTCGTTAGCTTGTCATATTAGCTCTGCAGGGAGCCTACGACTGATGAATGGGGATTTAATCTGCTTTGTATTGAGAACGGGGACAATCACTGTGAGAGCAGAATACCAGCACACACACACCCTAACCGTCTGAGTCATATTTCTGCAGTTTACAGCCTTATGTAACTCTGTGCTGAGGCCTAATGGGCTGTTACTGACGACTGATAGACACCAGCAGGATGACTTTATGGCTAAATGAGCTGCAGCGTTTCCTCTGAAGGTCGAGCTGAAGTGCAGACAGACCAGAGTATGAAATGACCGCCTGCTGCTCTGCTGTTGTTGACGTTGTTGTCCGAGGGCTGTAAATCGGCCACTCAGCCTGTTAAGCTGCAAGAATTTGGATTTCTTTGTTTTTGATTCTTTGTTGATAGAGACTCCAGCTGTTTGGACCATCCAGAGATCATCATTGGAAATGTTTTAATACCAAATACAAAATCAACAATGTGTCAGTCCATCAGTCAACATCTTAGAGTCTCAGTAATATCCTTAAAACAGTTGCAAACATACAGGAGGAAATAGTACACCTGTTGGGGACTATTTTTAGTGGCGGATGAATCCACATTTGGTTCTCTAGTGAGTCTTTGGGGCGGTAGGATGGTGTTTGTGGGATTGATCCAAAATGAACTGCAGTGTTTTTGTTCATAGTAATGAAGAAAGATGTCAACCAGTGCAACAGTGTGGCTCACTTATAGTTTTTGGACAATAATAGATCTCTATGGCACAGAGGAAGAACATATATCAGACTGTGATACACAAACATTACTTATACATTTACTGTTGGTTTTGGTCTTTTTAGGGGATTTTTTGACAAAAAGACAAATGTAGAGTATCATCAGATGTTCTTTAAATTAGCAAAATTATAAGGCTCTGACCCAGCATCCAAATCCCAACTTTCAATACTTAAGAGTTCAGACATTTGGCAGAGCCTCATATGTTTTCGATTATGGCCTTCATCTGTTCGTCTTTCGTGGTCAAACTTTTGATAATTGAAAAAAAAAAAATTGGTACTCAATTTTACTCACACACTTTGGTCAGCAGGTCAGAGGTTTAAAGGACCAGTGTGCAAAATGCAGAATATGGCAGAAACTAAATATAATACTAATTTCATAAGCGTATAATCACCTGAAAATGAGAATCGTCGTGCCTTCGTTTGAGCTGTATTCAGTTGGTTGCAATCTGCAACTTCACCCAAGATGCCGCTAAAACCTACACACTGGTCCTTTAACGCCCGGCCCTCCACTGGTTCACTATGGCAGAGATCAGGTTTTAGACTCAGAGATAAAAACCGGTTTCATGTTCAGAATATCTCTGTTCAACATGTATGAGGAGCAATTATAGCAAAGTTCTTTTCACACTGTGTGAAGCTGATTGCAGCCGTGGTCTGTCTGAATGCTGAGTGGCGTAATTATTTCTGCTGCGTGGGCGCATTCAGAGGTAAAATCCACCTTCAGATACTCCTCTGTATCATCGCTACCATGTGAATTCTAGGTTTTGTCTAGTGATCTCTTAATCAAGTTATCCGGTTTCAGTTGTTCATGAGTCAGGTTAAACTCTTTTTGTGTTGTAGCTGCAATGCCTTCTGGTCTATTTGCTCTTCTGTGGCCGTCCAATAAGAAACAGCCCTTCTAGAAACAAGCCAAATATTCCTAAATATAATCAAATGTTCTTGTATTGAGCAAAAACAAACAAACTTAAAGACTGTAATGAGCCTTAAAACTAGAAAAAGTGCCAGAAATGTAGGCAACCTGTGCTTATTATAAGCAATAAAAACTCAGATATTGAAGATTTTCTTAAAATACGTATTTTGGTCACTTTATTGAGCTGAATATAAGAATTGAAATATTATAAGATTAATAATCAGCAAAACAATTTTTTTGGCCTTATTTTATAGAGACAGCTGTAGAGAGACAGGAAA